TCACCTATAAGTGGAACCTAATAAATAAAACAAACAAACAAGAAAAATATAACCAGAGACATTGAAATAAAGAGCAAACTGATAGGAAGCTGAGGTGGGTGAAGGGGATGATTGGGAAAAGAAGAGGAAGGGTTGTCAGGGAGCACATATAAAGGACCCATGAGCAAAGCCGAAGTGGGGAAGGACTGAGGGTGGGAAGAGGGTGGGTTGGGCAGGGGAAAGTGGTCTCAGGAAAACGGTACTTGAACAACAATTAAAAAAATATTAAAAATATATAAATAAATAAATAAAAATAAAAAAATAGGAAAAAAGAAAAGGAAGGGGAGTGCAATTCCCAGTGGGAAGGGCTACTCTTGCCCTTTTGCCACTTTTGCTCCCTGGAGGGCAAAGATAGCTTTCCTGTGGTCTTCAGGGAAGGTTCTGAAAAAAAGATGGGGTTCTACCCTGCCACCAGAGCCATCAGTGTCAGATTGGAAGTAGAAATAAGGGCAGGAACCCTGGCGTGGGCAAGACCAGGCCACTGCCTGCCAAAGTAGAGCATCTTTGCTTCTTCCTGAGCACTGGCTCTGGGCCCTGTGCCTACTCTCACTGGCCATCTCTTGGGGCTCAACCTTTCCAAGGTCCCTTCACCATACTCCACCCACATGTGCCAGTCCCTCCATACTCAGTTCCCACTTAGCAACCCCTCTCATTCATAAAGTAAAAGATAAGTTCTGAGTGTGACATGTTCTAGAAAGAGAATATATGGCTTTTAGTTGTTTTTACTACAGAAGATGCCTCAAGTATAGATTTGTGCTATCATTTTGGCTCTCAGCCAATGAACCTCTTGGTGTTCTCATTTTTATTCAAGACAGTTCAGAGGACCTGGAGGTTCTTTGCTACAACACCCAGTTCAAAGCTATTATTCACCTAGGTGTTTAATGAGCAACTCTCCCCATCTCATATTGTTGCAGGCTTTGAAAAGGGCCCAAAAGATGTAAGAATGGCCCCTCATTTCTTGGAATTTACACCATATTTGGGGAGACCACATACCAACATGTGGCAGTGTTCCAGTTCAGGAACTAAGAAGCAGGTGCTAGACAACACGATGGGAGTTTGGAGTGAGATAAGCATGGCTCTCTATAGAGGTAGGATCTGTAGCTTTTTTAATAGTGGGCAGGTGTTGAACAGGAAAACATCCTAAGCCTAAGGAACAGCAGGGGTGTCAAGAAGCTTCTATAAGTTTGTGTGACTCCAGAAGATGGCTGCCACTGTTGGCGTCACTATTATAACTACAAAGACTTCCATCTGACATGGAAGCTAGATAGGCTAGAGCACACAAGCCGGGCATCAGAAGTCCCAGGAGGGTGCTGCAGAGCCTTGCATCTTATGGGATGCTCATGCTTGCTTCAGGAAAACATCTCAGTTGCCAGTGAGGTAGAAGGCTGGCAGAGTTGCCATTAGATTCTGAGGCTCTCAACCCCACTTTCCGATCCTGAGACTTGTATATTATATATCCCAGAACTCACCCTCAGGTAATTCTATGTGATTAATTTGATGTTCATTCTCTTCCAGTAGAAGATGGACCAGCAGACCAGCAGGGAATGATAGTCAACACTAACTGGGCATGGTTCTTATGATATTTTGCTTTGTTGTCCTTCTTCCAAAGGGGATGATAAAAGGAGGCTTCCTGGGCTTATTATGACTAAGTACATCTTCCTTCAAAGATCTGGGGCTGTCATCACACTCTCGGAGCTACCTGCTGGCTCCCTCATCCACTCTAGCTCATCCAGCAAGAAATTCACACTTGGAACTGGGCAAGAGCCTGGTACATTCTGGTGTCAGAGAGGAGAATGGGCCAAAGCAGAGGACTCTCAAGAGAAGAGAGAAGAATGCTCATAGCAGGGTGGGGTGATTGTGGTGATACGATGTCCATTCAAACCAATGATGCCAAGAGTGTGCACATCAGTCAAAAGACATCACACCCATCCTCTAGCTTGTCTCCTTTTCTTCAAGATATCTTCCTAAGTACAAATCTCATCCTAGCACCCTCCTGCCGGTACCTCAGGAAGGCTCCCTGCCACATCAAAAACAACCAGGCAGTCCAGCAGCAGGGCAAAGAGGTCCTTTCCCATTATGGAGTCATAGAAATGTTGAGTAAACTGTGACCAAAAAAATTTTTTTTATTGTATGCCATATTTACACAAAGGAATAGAAAATCCTCAGTTATAGAAATGAAGAGAAAAATAGCATCCAAAGCACTTACATGTAAGCTGGAAGCTTAAAGTCCATGGGGATCTTAAGGGAACCAAATTTCGGCTCTAGGGAAAGGACTGAGGTAATAACACATGTCTGAGAACAGGAGATGTGGCCTTAGCCTTGATTGGAGGAGAAAAACTTTTAATCTGAGCTCACCAGAAAAGCAAGAGCATCAAAGAGATACCCCTTCTTTAAAAGGGGATTGGAAAACACTTTCTACCAGCTCAGGTAAGTATGAGGAAGCAATGACCTATCTTAGGACAGTGGTGCAAAAGAAAAAAAGTCACTTGTCAGAAATTGAATTCCAAGGGCCTATGCCCTGAATGGGTGCAGAATCCAGGTTTATACTACTTGCGAGGCCCACAAGCCCCAAGCAGAAAAATTAACATAGTGTTTGGTCTAAAACAATTGAAACCTCTAGGATCCTAGTAGATAAAGCATAACTGTTCTGTGTAGAAACACTGTCACAAACCAGAGCACATGGGAGCCACACGAGAAAAACAAATACTACTGCAAGTGAGCTCAAAATAAAAAGTGACAAATCATGTGAGGAAATGAGCCTCTATGAGTGGGAATAAGCAGGTACAGCCAACAGGATCCTCAGTATTTCAAGGATTGCAGATAATGGGACAAACTGAAAGAAGCTATAAACACATTCATACCAAAATTTCAAAACCAGAATCCAGCAGTACTGATGCTTGTTCTGATCCCAACCTGTTCCTCCTGTGTCACCTTCTTAGTTCATTCCAATCTCTGCTGTCATATAGACGCAAAATCTTGAGCTATTCTCAAATTCTTCCTCTCACTTTTCTTCCTTAAAAATGATTCTCAGCAGTCTCATCTCTCTTCCTCCCCTCTCCTCTGTTACTGCAATGGGCATCTAGTTGGTCTCCCTGCCTTCCCATTCACCCTGGCCCCTCTTCTCTTTAACCCACCTCCACATTGCCACTAAGTTATCCTCCTAAAGGCCAAGGTCAATGATTTTACTTCCCAAAGCCAAATTCTTGATTATGAAAGTCCAAGCCTTCCCCAACTTGTACCTAAACATTTTTTCTGGTTTTGTTCCCTACTATAACGTCTTCCTTATCCCAACCTGCTGTTTTCAGCCCTTCTGGCTTACTTACCCTTCCTATATTCTTCCCCATGCTTCTAAGCAGTCTCCTTTTGATTAGACTGCTCTCCTCATCACATTTGCTGATTGAAAGTAAAGCTTAGCTTAAACCTTCCAGAAGCATGATGTTATGGAAAAATGAAGGCATCATTACAGCTAGACATACCTTGTTTCAAATTCTAGATATATCACTTAATCGTTCTGTGCCTCAAGCAAGTAGCAACCTCTCTGAGCCTCAAATTCTAATCATGTAAGATGGGAATATCTATTTTGCAGAGTTGGGAGAATTAGAGATAATCCATATAAAGCACTGAACACAGAACCTGGCCCCAGTAAGTGCTCAATAAACAGTTGCTGAATTGAACTTCTATCTTCACATTTTTATGGAGGTTATATCCTCACTGCTTTGCCAAACCAGAGCTCCATGAGGCCTGAGACCTTGTGTCATTTGTATTTACATCTTTGCACTTTCCTGTGTCTAATACAGGAAGTCTTGAAACATGTCAATGGACAAGCAGTGAAAAGAACTAAGCATGCCCAACCTGATATTGGAAGGAAAGACTTTGGGTAGATGGATGTGGCAGGTGTCAGATGTTGGCGAGGCATTGAGGACCAATTTGTATTTTCGCTCCAGAGAGGGAAGAACCACCATCAAGAGCAGTAAGGAGGCTGATGCTAGCTCAGGAAAGGAAAGAATAACCAACATTTAGAGCTGTTTAATAGGCCAGCAAGTGTCAAATTGCATGCCATGAAAAAACTCAGATTATAGGAAATATTTACTAGTAATAATAAGAGATGTTCATTGCTGTCACACATATCTTTGAAATTTACACCTCCCTTCTAGAGAGCTTGGTTCATAGCTGAAAGTTAAGTGTTTTTTGCCACAAACTCAAAGCTCTCCATATTTTGGATTAAATGAATGAATAAATAAATGAAATCATCAATCAATCTAATCTTTAAGGAAAGATATGTGCTACAAGAAGGAGAAAAAAGAAGGAAAAAATGAAGGGTTTACAAAAAGACCATCACAGGATGACAAAAAGGCAGAGAATGATTAATCAGCATCAGAGAAGAGGATCAGTTTGGGAAGGCTGGAACTTGCAGCCCCTTGTCCAGGGCAGAACACCCACTGATCTTCTAAGCCCAAGATTTGACTCACCTGCTCGATTCTGCTCATGTTGGCGGCTTGCTCTCAGAGTGATCATAGCACATACCCAAGGACTACCAGGGAAATCACTCATAAGATGTTGATCAGTCTAGATGATATTATGATTGATTTTGAAACTTCTTTCCCCCCATAAATTTACATCTTAATTATTATGCTCTATTATTATAATTATGACTTGTTGCTGTTATTACAATTGTTCAATTCACACTTGGTAATGAGTTATTAAATGAAATATGTTGGCATATGATTTTTTTCTTTAGAGTATCATTACTCAAAGAACAATTGATTTTCAATGTGAACACCTGTAACATAAAGTCCCAAGAAGAAAACATACTGTCCAAGCATTAAAGGATTTCTTGTTTGGTAAACTGAGTTTACAATTGTCTCAAAGACAAGCCAGTTATTACAGTTCTTATAAGCAAAGATAAGGTGGTCTGTCTGAAACAAGACTTCTTGCTCTATATGTTCACTGACCCGCGGTGCTCACCTGAAGACATAATGGCTGTGGGATTTCAGGAGGCTCTGCAGGCTCTGCAGGGCCTCAGGCAGCCCTGCCCCCATGAGAGCACTGCAGGCCCAGAACTCCCAGCAGTGGTCCCAGAATCTCTCCAGACCAAGGTTGTCTCTGATCTCAAGCAGCAGCAGAGCATCAGGCATCTCCTGCTTATTGGCCAGCACCAAGAAAGGGACACTGGCCATGCTGGGGTTGTCCAAGAATTCCATGAGCTCAGCCATGCCTCAGGCAAGTCAGCTTCATCTGTGCTATCTAGCACATACACAAAAATATCTGTGCCTTCCAGGTAGTCCTTCCAGCAGGCCCTGAGCTGGGTCTACCCCAACCCCCACCCCTAACATCCCAGAGAGTCAGAGACACATGCTCCAGGGTCTCAAGAGGCTCCACATTGAAGCCAATGGTGGGTAGGATGTCCACCACCTAGTAGCCCTTCAGTTTGTACAGGAGCATGGTCTTGCCTGCTCTGTCAAGGCCCATCATCACCACTTGGGCTTCCGCTATGTGATCTCAGGAAATCACAGAACCCCTGGTGACCACTGCTAAATCCTGGAGGAGAAAGACCAGATGCAGACATCAGCCATTCTTTTCTGATGAAACACAGAGATTCATGCAGGTACATGGAAGAAGAGTTTCTACTCTAAAAGTAGAAAGTGTCTTTACAGGTTTCAAACACAGGCTTGGGCTCTGAAAGGCCAGGAAATAAGGGTGTGTGAGTCACCATTGACTGACATATGTCTGGGGTAGCCTGTTTCAGAGAAGAGGTTAGGGTCCCCTGAAAGACAAGGAATGTAGGCTCACATCCTTTGGTAGTTATAGCAAGGAGACAAAGTGGAGTTCCAGTTAGACAAACCTAGTTCAGTAGAAATATTGAAAGATGTCTTTAATTCCTGCTAGTCTGAGTTTCTAGCCTTTGTCTTCCTTCTTGTAAGCCTAAACCTTGAAACAAAAGTTGTCTTGGCTCCGTGCATGAAGTGAAGAGCACAGCCAGCTTATGGGAGCTTCTGCTGCCTTTGGAACTCTCAACAGGACCAGCACTGTGTTTTGTAAACAGTGGCTATAAATACTGTAGGCTGGGGACACATTTATCAGTCAGAGCAAAGTGGTTTCTCCATTGTCTTACCAAGTAAATTACCTATAGAACACAATTCCTGTTCTTCAAAAATCCTATATTAAGACTAAGACTTGTTCCCCATTTAGCCAGGGGAAACATTGGCTGGGGCAGATGAAGATACCTCTCACCCCAAGAGTATATTTCAGCTGACCCTGGAGGAAAATGAGACAGCCTCTTTTCATTCCTCATGCCAGGGAGAAGAGTAAAAATTATAATTACCTCAGTGTTGTTAGATAGTGGTTGAAACTCCTCCTCTGCAGCAGTCTTCCCCCATGCTGCTGCTGGTCAATAATGTGCCAAGAGTGAGATGTGAAGGATTGTCATTTCTCCTTTTTCTGCTTCCTTTTTTTTCCAGGTGGCTAAGGGGTGAGGCAGGCTTCACTGTCCCTTCCTCAACTCTGGGGCTCCCCAGCAGTTCCCCCACTGGGGATATGTCACAAAGATATCCCCAGTTCTTCAGCTCTTGATAGAGCGAGGTGCAGCACCAACTCAGTTTCCTGGGTAGCATACAGGGCTCAGATTCGATGCAGGAAGAAAGGTACTACATTCACAGCTGTGCCCAAGTTCAGCCCCTTTCTTTTGTTCTTCCTCTAATAATCTGTGACTTCCTCAGTGGAGAAATATGAGAATTGGACTTTTTCTTTCATCTTAGGCCTCAAGGATTTTCTAGTGCCCCAAGTTTCTTTTTGGCTTGAAACCACACATGCTTTTTTTATAAACTACCTAAGTATGATTAAAACACTCTTTTTTAAAAAAGGAAATCTATGTTGAAAATAAAGCATAAAAATAAAAAAGTTGTGTCAATGTGGTTGAGCTATGGGCACTTAAATATATTGCTGAATTTTTTTCTTGAACAGTGTCATTATATTTTTCCAGTAAAATGATAGCCCCCAGAAAATACAATGTTTGAAAAATTGTTCCAATCAGAAGTCATTGATTCTGTAGCTATCTGATTTGAATCTTGAGTTGCAGCATTTTGGGTCTTATAAGCAGTAACATTTGTGCAGAACTTTCTGCTTTCCACACACTATTTTATTAAAATGTCAAGAACCAAGTCGGGGGTTATGATTCTACCATTTTACAAATGAAATAATAGGCTCAGTCAAGTTAGGTCTCATGAGCTTGCTAAGATTTATAAGCTATCTCTTTCAACATATCATGCTACTCACTGAGCAAGTGCTTTGTTTTTGTTGTTGTTTGGGGGGGTTGTTTTTTCCCCCTTTTTTAATTATTTTTTATTGTTGATATTATTTCTTGCTTTTTTTTATACACACCCAAGGACACTTTTTTATTACTTTTAGAGAGAGGGAAAGTGAGAAAGAGAGAAATATTGATGTGAGAGAAACGTCAACCGGTTGTTTCCCTCACGTACCCCAAATGGGGATCAAACCCACAACCTAGACAGGTGCCCTGAGCAGGAACTGATCCCACAGCCTTTTTGGTTTACAAGATGACACTCCAACCAACTGTGCAACAGTGGCCAGGGTGATGAACAAGTGCTTTGTAAACAGAAAACACCCTATTGTAATTGTTGTCATTAGACTACTGTATTCTAACAGGAGGAAGCAGTGAGGAAAAGTCAGATACTCAGAGTATTATGCACACCACTGTGTTGTACTGTTCTTGATGTTATTGTTGTTTTGTTCTTTTGAGTGTCTGTGGTTGTAGGCCATAGTCATTTTTCAAGGGTCAGGGTGTGTAAGAGAAGGGATACTAGGGGTAGAATTATTGTCAAAGAAAAATCAGAGCTGGAAGGTAGTTAAAACTGTAAAAACAGATTTTATTCAAGACTGTTACAATAGGGGAGAACAGACCTCACTGTAGAATTGGGCTCAATTTTGAATACAACCTGGGAAAGTGGAGGTTTATAGCCAAGGAGCAGGGTGGGGGTCAGCAAATGGAAAATTACTAAAAGGATCATCAGGGATAATGGGGAGAGCAGTTCTGGCTAAACTGTATAAAAAGATCCTTTCTGAAGGCAGGCCAGGGCAATCAGACATTACCTGGGAGATGGTAGAGAATGAGGAACCTGATCAGCTATGGAGGGTAAACAGAAATCAAGGGTGGGTTTTCTGGTTAAAATGGCTTAGCAGGATTCTTGCTAAAACTCGATTTTACAGGGAGGTGCACAGATGGGCCTAGGATAAGTTTCAGGAGTCTGACCAAAGTCTGGTTAAGCAAAGAATCTTTGTCATTATCCTAGGACAGCCTCAAAGCAATAAAGAACTGTCTAGAGGAGAGCTTGTCTTTCTCAATTGGACCAAGCTGCAACTCAGTCCTACACAAGCTTGGTTGATAAATCAGTAGGAACCCTGCCAGGATTTAATTTGCAGAAGGGATAGGGTTGGCAGGGGATAAGGACATAGCAGGCTAAGGATTAGGTGTGCAGGGGAGCCAGGTGGTGCTACCCTGACTGGTTTCCATGTCTGAGCCCCAGGAAGGGAGGGGAAGCAGGCAGAAGCTGAAGAAGCCACTGAGTTGAGGGGCTCACAGGCACCATACCAGGTTGCCTGGGGGCTGAGTGGCCCCCTACCCAGTGACACAGTTATGGAATGAACACTCCCTTGGCCTTCTGTCCCAAGGATTCCAGGGGTACCAGGGCCACATGGCTAGCATACAGGGCATCTGAAGTCCTCTCTGTGACACCAATTGGCTCTTAGAGAGATACGTGTCCTCCAGGGCCTAGACAGGCATTCAGGGGGAGGACCTGTCAGGGCTGTTCAGGCTTTCCCAGATGTAAAGGAGCCTTTCTTGAGGGCTAAGGTCCTGTATTAGCTGGAGAATGTGAGAGCCAGGAAAACAACAATCATGTTGAGTATGACCCTAATTGTAACCAAAGGTGATTGTAGGCTGAGTAACCCCAACCCTTCCCCCATCCTCATCCCTTTATTTCAACAAGAGGGAAGTTTTTTTCTTTGAAACCCTAATGTGGGAGGCTTTAGAAGGGCTGCTGCCCAGAAAGGCAACAGGGAACATAGGGTAACAGCATAGACTTTGATTTGGGGTTACCTGGGAGTACAGTTCACCTCTACTACTTAGTTACTACGTCACCTCAAGCTTGTTCTTGAATTTCTCAGTGCCTCAGTTTCTTTTTCTGTAAAATGCAGGTGATGATTATAAAAATGGCATCTAACTTAAAGGGTTATTAGGAGGATTAACTAAGTTAAGACACATCAAATATTTAGCACAAAATAAGTCACCTAGTCTCAGGTTACTAGTATGAAATAAGGAAAGTGGAGCCATTAAAAGTAGAGGTGTGGTTGGCAAGAGACACAGCCCCTTTGTAAGCCTGTGAGTAGCTACTAGAAGGGGGGCTCTGCTGGACTCACAGATACCCAGAGAGACAAGGATTTTGGATCCCATCTCTATTGCCTCCAGGAAATTCGGCTTCCCAAGAGAGCCACTGAATAGAGACCCATGGCTCAGACTGTGAGTTTAGAAATATACTTGTGCCAGTTCTCATACAGGCAGTCAGGTCTGGAGAGTCAAGGCATATTCATTTCACTCACAAAGAAACAATTTATAAGCCAGAATGCAACTTCTCACATTTCCAAAGGGATCCATTTTGGCTCAAGATCAGGGATCCATTTTCTGTACGGCATACCTAGAGCAGGCAGCAGGTGAAGGAGGGCCACGTGGTAGATACACAGGGTGCTGAGCAAATCAACCACGGAAGCTATGTGCAAACATGTTCTTTGAAAACAATGGAAGGTGGGTGGTTTTAAAAGATTGTTTATCATGGATTAAGCCTGGCGATCACTTTCTTTTCTCCTCTCTACAGATAAATCCAAGGAAGGAGAGGATGAGAGTGAGAGCTTTGTTCCCCTGGAAAGTGCTGAAGGAATGATGACAAATTCCTCCTTCCCAGCCCTCTTTTTTTTCCTGGGCTCCAGAGTCCCCCTGCCTTTCTGTTTGTTGTGTCCTCATTTCTAGTTGCTCACATTCTCAATTTGCAATACTTAAGTTAATAACTTATTTCCAAGGACTGTATCAATTAAACTCAGATTTTATTTGTATTCAAACTATCTATACAAAATTCAAAAGGTACAAAAGGGTAGAGTGTCGAGGGAATTCTCCTTCTCATCCCTGTCCTCCAGTCATCCAAATTCTTCCCTGGGAAATAACCCACACCATCAATTTTTTAGGTATTATCCCAGGGATAGTGTCCATATATAGGCAAGTATGATACATTAGTTTTTCGTGTTTATCTTTTTTTCCCAAATGGTAACATACTTGGAGAAATTTAATCACTCTATTCAATCTTCTTTCAATCAGAATTTGTTAGCCATCTGCACTATCAAGGATTGTTGGGAGGGAAAAGATGTTACAGGCGGCAGCAGTTACCCAATTCCCCTAAGGTCCACCTCCCCAGTGAGTGATGTGAGGGAGCATGTGAAAGTTGTCTTTGGGAAGTGTTGCGATGAGAGTCAATACTCCAATCATGCTAAAGTTTAAAGTTCTCTGAGACATTTAACTCCATCTGTCACTGTCATTTATTAGGCAACACATGAGACACTAAGCAATGCAACAACATTGGGTCAGGAACAACATGTCAACTTCCTTTGCAGTCAAAAATCCACATCCAGACTTCTGGTCAAGATGGCAGCATAGGTAAACATGGTACGTGCCTCCTCCCAAAACCACATTGAAATTACAAGTAAACTACAGAAAAACCATCATTCAGAACCACCTGAAATGGAGCCAAATGGAAGCCCTACAACTACAGAATTAAAGAAGATACCACACTGAGACTGGTAGAAGGGGAAGAGATGAAGAATGGGCTGACCACACAGCCATGTGTGGCAGACAAAAATCAGGAGGGATATCTCAGCTGAAGAGGTCCCCCCTTAAGGAGTGAGGGGTCCCAGCGCCACACCAGGCCCCCCAGCCCCGAGTTACTGCCAGGAAAAGAAGTCCCCATATATTCTAACTATAAAAGCCAGCAAGGATTGAGGCTGAGGAAGGTGGAAGTTTCTGGAATCCCAGACAGTTTTTCTTAAAGGATCTGTACACGGACTTTCTCAGACTCACTTCCTCTGAGCTCCAGCATGGGTGGCAGCAGCTGGAAATGCACCAGAGACATACGAGGAGGAAATGAGTTACTTGGCATCTGGGTGAGAGCTGGAGGGAAGCTTTCTCACAGACAGAAGTGCTGGTGGAGGCCAGTGTTCCTTCAATAAGACCCCACCCCACAGAGCCAGTAGGTGGGTGCCATATCTGTGTCTCTATCAACATAGCTTACTCTGTTTCCCCATCCTGGTGATTCCTTGAGGCCCCATCCCATTTAACTTTCAGGCCCAACCAAACTGTTTCCAGTGGCTTTTCCATGTGAATGGGTTGTCTTGGTTCATGCTTCAGGTTTTCCTAAATTCTCTCAATCAAGCAGCATCGGGCCTCAGAAAGCCCTGGACCTCTCACTAAGTGGCCCCAGAACTAGCAGCAGCCAGCCTTGGTTTACAGCGTGGCCTTGCCTGGGCATATCCAACCCCAGAACAAGTAGCAGCCATCTGCAGATCGCTTTGTAGATTATGCTGGGTGGCCTGGTTAGAACACAAGAAGTGTCTGACCTTGACCTGAACCTCCTGGGAGACACCAGAATGCATTTAATGGACAGCTTTACACCACATCAGAACACCATCATCCAATGACCTTCACAAGCAACACTCAAGGGGGGGACTCAGCAGGCACCAGAGCTCTACTAAAGTAAGTCCTACTCTGTGGGGTGGGCCCCTGCGCAGCTTATCCTCCACACTGGTGGGAGTTCAGTGGTTGGTGGTAATAGCCAGTCCTTGCAGCTCACCAGCCTGGACAATTCCATCCCATTAATGTGCCAACAACAATCAAGGCTCAACTATAAGAAGAGGGTATACACAGTCCACATGGGGAGCTGCACCTTGAATGCCCAGTTTGGTCGATCAGGGAAGCTGTGCCATTGGACCCTAAAGCACACCTACTACATTAGGACACTCTATTGAGCCTGGGGAACATAGAAACCCTGCCTGATATATATAAACAAACACAGGGAGACTGCCAAAATGAGGAGACAAAGAAACATGGCCCAAATAAAAGAACAGAATAAAACTCCACAAGAACTGAACAAAATGGAGATAAGCAATCTACAAGATGCAGAGTTCAAAGGACTGGTTGTAAGGATACTCGATGAACTTAGTCAGAATCTTAACAACATAAAAAAAGAACCGGTCAGAAATAAAGGATACACAAGTTGAAATGAAGAATAATTTACAGGGAATCAAGAGTACAGTGGATGAAGCCAAGAATCAAATCAGTGATTTGGAATATAAGGAAATAAAAAACACCCAATCAGAACAGCAAAAAGAAAAAAAAGAATCCCCCAGGAAACGAGGATAGTGTAAAGAGATTTTGGGACAACTTCAAGTGCAACAACATATCGTGAGGGGATGCAAGAAGGAAAAGAGAGCAAAAAGTTGAAAATGTATTTGAAAAAATAATGACTGAAAACTTCCCTAACTAGGTGGGGGAAATAGACATACAAGTCCAGGAAGCATAGAGTCCCCAAACAAAACGAACCCAAAAAGGCCCACACCAAGACACATCATAATTAATATGCCAAAGGTTAAAGACAAAGAGAGAATAAAAGCAGCAAGAGAAAAGCAGTTAGTTACTCATAAGAGAATTCCCATAAGACTGTCAGCTGATATCTTAAAATAAACTTTGCAGGCCAGAAGGGAATGGCAAGAAATATTCAAAGTGATGAAAAGCAAGGACCCACAACCAAGATTCATAGATACAGAGAACATTTTGACACTTGCCAGATTGGAGGGAGCTTGAGGGAAGAGGCAAAAAAAAGTGAAGGGATTAAGAAGTACAAATTGGTTGTTGCAGAATAACGAGTGGGGATGTAAATTATAGCATAGGGAATATAGTCAATAATAGTCTAATAACTATGTATAGTGTTAGATGGGTCAAGATTTATCAGGATGATCACTTATTATGCAATGTCTGATTGCTGGGGTGTACACCTGAAACTAATATAATAATGTATGTCATCTGTAATTGAAAATAAAAATGATTAAAAATTAAAAATAAAAGCAAAAAACCCATGTCTAACTTGACTCCCCCAAATTAACTACTAATAGCCTACTGTTCACAGGAAGCCTTACCAATCACATAAACAGTCGATTAATACATTTTTTGTATGTTATTTGCATTACATACTGTATCTTTACAATAAAGTAATTTAGAGAAAAGAAAATATTATTAAGAAAATCATAAAGGAGAGAAAATATATTTGCAGTGCTGTAAGTATTTATTGAAAAAAGTGCACATATAAGTGGACCCACACAGTTCAAATCCGTGTTGTACAAGGGTTAACTGTATACCTGAATCTGAGGTGGTTGACACAGGTGAAGTTTATTGGTCCCTGTTTACAGGTACATGTGTTTATGGTTAGACTTTCCCCAGAGAGCACGAGTTCAACTTATAAACTGAGACCAGTGGTTTTCACTGAGAGTACTTTGAAAGTCTGATTAGCCCTCATTCATGGCTCTCAGTGCAAGGGGGCTGGAGATATTAGACATCTATAATACCCAGAATAATTCTGTGCAAGAAAGAATGCTTTTTTAAAAAAATATTTTATTTATTTATTTTCAGAAAGAGGAGAAGGGAGGGAGAAACAGAGAGAGAGAAAGATCGATGTATGAGAGAAACATTAATTGGTTGCCTCTTGTTCATCCCTGAATGGAGACCCAGCCTGCAACCCAGGCATGTGCCCTGACAGGAAATTGAACCAGCAACCTTTCAGTTCACAGGCCAGCAATCAATCTACTGAGCCACACCAGCCAGGGCAAAAGAATGCTTCTTGAATTTGAATTCAGCTTTTGAATGCCCCAGATATTTGTGTAATTTTTTTTAAAGCCCACTCTTTAAAAAATATCTGATCCTAGAGCCTATTTTGTTTCCTATGTAAACCCAAACTATTTTCTACATAGTCTCACATACATTACATTTCTCAGAAATGTGACTACTCTGTGAATTGAGGAAAGCTTGCACTGGTTGATTGGGAGCTTTAGTATGAGCTGTTCCCTACTCTAGAAAAATCACATCACTGACAGCAACACTGCCTGTGGTATTTAAGTTGCTGATAAAACTCACAAAAACACTATATCAGGCTCCATTGTGGCCATATTGATTCTATGTTTAGATGTAAAAATCTGACAGCTTCATTAATGTGATTGTGCCTGAACATTTCTATGGAAATAGATATTCTTTTGTTATATTTACCTTCCTTTTATTTATTCCTTATCTTATAGCATTATATTTATTTTCTTTTAATATTATATGGGTAAACAGATGATGTTATGATTTTCATTTCCAGATTTAACAATATTGTTATATAAAAAAAAGTGGTGAGTTGCTTTGTTTTAGGGCCCCTCCTAAAGGTGGAGATAATTGAGTAGAGTAAAAGATGAGTAGGGAACCAGTAGTGGTAGAGCCAGTTGGGATGACAGTAGGAGACTCCTACTTGGAAGTCATACATGGTGACAGCCATAGGTTTCATCTTCCTACTCTCTGAGTCAGGGAGG